GAGCCCTTAAACCGAATAAGTCAGAGTGGCCCCACCGAAGCTCCCTCTCTTTCTGCCGTGACCCAAGGCTCCACTCGGATTGGTTACCGCATCTCGCACATGGGTTGCTCACGTTGCCCAGAGTGCGCGAACGAGGACGCAAGAGTCGGGATTGAGTATAGCCATGCAACTGTAACTGCATACCCAGCGCAATGACTATACCCCATTGCAGTCCATTAGTTTATCTGCTAGCCCAAATGTTTCCTTTGTATTTCATAGCCTTAAAGGAAAAAACTGGCTGCGGTTTGCCAGGATTGTAAAGACTAAGCTTAAAAATCTTACGTAATTGTGTTCATTTAAGAAACTCATAGGTTTTAGAAAGAAAGTAAAACATATATGTAAGTATATAACAGCTGTGGCATTCCGACGCTGTTGAATGATTTTTGAGATTTAAAGATTTCATCAATTGTAGCAGTGGCTACGCTTGTTTTCCAGGGACCGAAAGAAACCGTTATTTTTTCGATGTAGAAGAAAGTTATCAAAGTTACTTTGATCCCAGGACCTCCGGAACAAGAATCCTGCATTAATGACTTTTATGTTTTTAGCCCAGTAAAAACAGTTAAACTTGGCCAAATATTTTTCAAATCCGAAATAAAATTCCTTTCCTTATAATTAACAAACCGTTTATCTAAGGTAAACAAATTTGGTATCAAATGAAAGAGGACTGAAATTGCCTTTAAACAGAAATAACGAGCGAATGTTACCACCTATTTATATTTTATTTTTAACAATTTAGTGCAAAATAAATTCATATATCTGACCCCGGGTTTGTTCTATGGTAATTAAATAACATTTTTAAATGAAATATTTTTCAATAGCTGTAGCCCGTTTCTGTAACTTTTCTCTACCGATTATTTCTCTACTGGTAGAGAAAATATGTCACTCTCACCTACTAATTAGCGGTAGAGAACAGGGCGGCGAATTCAGATCTCAATTCGCCTTGGTAGAGAATTGTTACAGAAACGAGCTACTGGCTTTCCTCGTTTCGACATTTCAGTTTGCCATTTTAGCCTTTTTTCATTTGATAACAAATTTTTATTCCGGCCCTAAAAAATATTTGGCCAAGTTTAACTGTTATTACCGGACTAAAAGAATAAAAGTTCGGGTTGACCGACTATTTTTTTTTAATAAAATAAAAGCAAAAAATAGCATTTTTTTCCAACGACTTTTATTATAAAAGTTATAAAAGTCTAGGTTCGTGTTGCTTTCCAATTTTGTTTAAAACCAAGTTTCTTACTAAAATATTAATTTGTACATACATGAATATTGAGCAATTCCCGTACAGTGATTTTTGAAATATCGAAGATTTATCAGTTTTTAAAAAATTCTGTTTTTCATAAATACCGTTTTATAAGAATTGATTGGTTGTTGTCCGATTTCTCCCATTTCTTCTTCCCACTAAAATGTAGAGATGCAACTTGTTGTAAATATACTTTAACTTTTGTAAATATGCAAAATAAAAGGGTTAAAAAATATACCAGATGGTGTGACTGGCGCAACTGATTTCAAGGGGAATTGCGCCGATTGCCATATAATGGGTTTTTGGTGTTCTGATTTTCATCGCGCGTATAACTTGTTAGTGTAGTTTTTTGTTGTTGTGCTGCCATTTTGCCTTGCATGAATTCGCCTTAAAAATATGTTAGGGTCCGGTTTCAAATGCCATTAAATGGAACATATAAATCTTGATTTTTTTTCGATTTTTCTTAATTACTAAAAAAGCGTCTGTGAAGTGCAGAACGAAATCGTGTTCAAACGAAAAAACCTTAAAAAAGAATTTTTTTCTAACTTTAAAGTGAACAAAAGGTAGTGTGGCGCAACATCATATGTGTTACATGTGTTGTTTAAACAAAGAGGATATGGTTTATTCTGAGAAGACGAAAAACTTCCCGGGCGCCCGGCTTGGGTTTCCAGAACGTAAAAACTTCTGTCAATGAAATATTTCAATAAGCCTCGGATGAGACCCGCTTCTTTTAATGACGACTCTTAATGGGGTTATTCATTACTTAATTAACCCAAATAGTTTTACCCTATTCCTTCCTGATGCGCGGAGGACCTTTCCGAGCCATTTGCTATGAAATGAGGTTTCAGACGGGCACCTGCCTGTTGTGTTATTTCTTCTATCTGATATTGGAGAAGATTATAAGAGCTGTAGCTTCGATCTGGTATTGAACGGGGACAAAACAAAGTACATATCTTCTGTCATCAGACGCTTAAGGCTCAGTTAATCTAAACTTAACTTAACTTACGTAAGAAACCCTTAGCCAG